TCTAGCTGGCATCATATTGTTTGGTAGCGCGCCTTGCTGATTTCTGTGGAGTGTAGCTTTCAGAGAAGGCGCCGGCCGCTCAGCAAGGGTAACCGATTGTTCTTCCACAGGTCTCAGATCCAAAAGAGTGGTTTCTTTTCAACGGCAAACAGCGCGGCCTTCCAGTGACGTTCAAAACACGAAACTCAACAGCTTGAATTACTCATCGCTCCGCTTTGGGTACACCTGGCGCTTCAGTCTGAGGCGCATACGCTCTCCCCAACCATTCTTTAAACTGTGTTCATTTCCCAACAATAAATCCTTTGGAAAGAGACTACTGTCACCATTTAAGGGGCTGGGGGTAATTAAAAACACCCACTTCTCTGTCTCTCAAAAAGAAATCTCTGGATAACAGATTTTCCTGTCCCCAGCTGTAAGGAATGTATGTCTTCGAGAGTTGGACCATAAGGAAGGCCGAGCGCCGAAGAATAGATTTTTTTGAGAGCCAGTTTGGTGTAGTGGTTAAGTGCGCGGACTCTAATCTGAGAGAACCAGGTTTGATTCCCCACTCCTCCACTTGCACCTGGCTGGATGACCTTAGGCAAGCCATAGTTCTCTCAGAGCTGTTCTTGAAAAAGAGCAGTTTCTGTCAGAGCTCTTTCAGCCCCACCTACCTCACAGGGTGTCTGTTGTGGGGAGGGGAAGCGAAAGGAGTTTGTAAGCTGCTCTGAGACGCCTTTGGGTAGTGAAGGGCGGGGTATAAATCCAATCTCCTCCTCTTCTTCTTGAATTACGGTGCTGGAGAAGACTCTTGAGAGTCCCTTGGACTGCAAGGAGATCAAATCAGTCAATCCTAAAAGAAATCAACCCTGACTGTTCCCTGGAAGGCCAGATAATGAAACTGAAGCTCAAATACTTTGGCCACCGAATGAGAAGGGAGCACTCACTGGAGAAGACCCTGATGCTGGGAAAGACTGAAGGTCAAAGAAGACGGGGACGACGACAAAGGACGGTGTGGTTAGACAGTGTTATTGATGCAACAAACGTGAAATTAAGCAAACTCCGGAGGATGACGGAGGGCCTGGCGATGTGGTCCGTGGGGTTGTGAAGAGTCGGACTCGACTGTGCGACTGAACAACAACAAGCCGTAAGGAACACCGTCTGACTGTCACAGAAAGGATCAAATAACGCAACGCTAACCTCTCAACCTCGCTCAGAAGTAAAGCGCCACAGCCGGCCAGCCAACGGCAGATTCTCTTCCCCCAACTTGGCAAGAAAACGGATGTCAATTTGGGGCTTCAAATGTCAGGCCGAGAGCAACTGGAGTTCAGAGGGGCTGAACTCAACCAAAGATTATCTGCCACTGCTTCATGAAAAAGCACCTTTATTCTGCCCCATTCAGAGCTAGAATCCTTTATGTCCTTGAGAGTCAAAATTCTCAGAGGGAGCTTTGGCACTCGAAACGTATACCCTGCAAATCTTGTCGGTTTCTTACATGAAGAAGAAGAGGAGATTGGATTTATACCCCGCCCATCACTACCCGAAGGAGCCTCAGAGCAGCTTACAATCTCCTTTCCCTTCCCCTCCCCATAACAGACACCCTGTGAGGTAGGTGGGGCTGAGAGAGCTCTGACAGAAACTGCTCTTTTTCAAGAACAGCTCTGAGAGAACTATGGTAGGGGGTAGGTAGGTGGGGCTCAGAGAGCTGAGAGCCCTTGAGAGAACAGCTCTAAGAAAACTTGTGACTGGCCCAGGGTCACACCAGCAGCTGCAGGTGGCGGAGTGGGGAATCGAACCCGGTTCTCCCAGCTTAGAGTCTGCACTCCTAACCACTACACCAAACTGGCTCTCCAAACTCTCTCAAAAGCTTCTTGTTGGTTTCTGAGGTGCTGCCAGACTTGAATCTACTTGTTCTACGTCAGACCGACAACGGCTCCCCTATCTTAAAGGAATTATA